TACCAAGACGGTAGAACCACCAGAACTCTAGACTCCTCGTGGGGAAGTAGCTAATGAAGCTGTAGATATGCATATCTGAAAAGCCAGCAATCCCGCTCCTCACACGTGTCCCAAAGAGAATTTGAAAATGTGCACCAGGATCCACGCACAAGACTTTGCACAGGTGCAGTTTGTAGAAACAGAAACCTGGAATCAGCCCAAATGTCCGACAGAAAGATGGACAGGTAGATCCCGAAGTAAGATCACATCAGGAAAATTGTATACATGGACGTATCTCAGGCACAGAATGTTGGCGGGGAGAGAGGGAGCAAGTTACAAAAGAATACGCAGAATCATTCTGTGTGTAGAGTCAAAAACATGCAATAGTAAGGAACATACTGTTTAAGGAGGAAAACATGTAGTAATCTTGTAAAGAAAACAGTAAACGCAAAATGCATAATGGTGGTTACCCTGGAGAGCAAGAAACAGACGGGATTAGGAAGAGGACTCAGGGCATCACAAAGGTGAGAAATTTCTCCTTAAAAAGGATGGTGCGTAGCCCTGGCCGGTTTGGCTCAGCAGTTGGAGCGTCGGCCTGCGGTTCAGAGAGACCCGGGTTCGGTTCCCGCTAAGGGCACGTACCTCGGTTGCAGTTTGTCCCCGGCCCTGGCTGGTCGTGCGGGTGGCAGCCACTCGATGTGTCTCTTTCACATCAATGTCTCTCTCTCTCTCTCTCTCTCTCTCTCTTTTCCTCTCTCTCCCTCCCACTCTATCTGAACAAAAAGTGGAAAAATGTCCTCAGGTGAGGATAAAAAAAAAAAAGGATGGTGCATAGACAAGGTTCACTGCCTTGTCATTCTTTTACCAAATCTACATTTTTAGAAATTTTATTTTGCTTCCATTCCCAGAATGGAAATGATTTAGAATAAAATTAATTATTTTTTTAATCAGAAAAAAATATCAGAAGTTCTGCCAGCAATGGGCGAGCTTAGGATGGCAGCTGCCCCTGTAGACACCATCTCCATCACTCGCGGTATATTTTTGCACAGACTGTTGTCCTTACAGCTCTCTTCGGGGTCATTCACTGACATCACCTACTGGACTTTGTGTGCACCTGAGGTCATGGCTTCTGCTGGAGAGCAATGGTTCTCAGAGTGTGGTCCCCGGGCCAGCAGCAGCTTCAGCATCACCTGGTCACGTGTCACAAGTGAAAGTGTCCAGGCACCACCCTAGACCCACTGTATCCAACTCCGGGGCTGGAGCCCAGCAGTCTGCCTGAACGAGCTCTCTGGGGGGTTCTGATGCCCTTGAGAACCATTGGTCTCGAGGACATGGCCCAGCCGTGACCTCCCTTCCTGGCCACTCTCCCTTCCTGAGTCCCGTCAGTCCCCCTGGAGGAGGGCTGCACTCTCTCCTAATGGACGCAGCGTTCGTTGCCGGGAGCCAGCGGGGCCCTGCCTGCCTTCAGAAGCCTCCTTCCATTTGTCCTTGCTCAGTGCCAAGTCAGCCGTTGTGCTGTGTGACTGGCGACCTACGGTCAGAAATGGATGGGCATCGCTTGCAGAGTGCTTTGTCTGCTCTCTGCCGGCCCCCCGGGCTCCTGCAAGAGCTCTTTCCCAGAATGGAGAGATGAGCATGTGAGCAAAGTCTTAAAAACAGCCAAGGCCGTGAAGGCGGGCTGTGAACAGAACACCGCTGTCCTGTGGTCCCTGCGTCCTCCAAACGGCCGTCTCTACCCCAGCGCCGCCTTTCCCAGCAGGACCGTCTCTGAGTAGCTCCCCTGCGCAGCGCCCTGGAGCTCCCGCGGCTGAGCCGGCAGAGGAAGCAGTGATTCTGAGTCCACTCTGACCTTGGCGCTGTCCTGCCGACCTGAGAGCCCGTAGGAGGCGGGCAAGGGCGAAGGGCGTTCAGATGCCGGTCAGAAACGCCAGCGCTCCATCTGGTCAGCGTCTCCAAGCTCCATTTTTTCCCCATCCAGTTCTTCCTTCTGCCCCAACTTTTGTTTTGTAAGAGTCATTCACTTTGTAGGCTGTCTACCAAATATGAGCACAGTCACCGTATCCTGAATTTGATGTCACCCTTTTAAATAAGCTAGGAGAACACGGCACCCTGGGAGGTATGCGTCGCGGAGCCGTGTGTGGCACTGTCCCCCGACTACACGCGGAGCCTGGCATGGGAACCACAAGGGCTGATTCCATCGAGACAGAGGTGGCGGTTAATCACAAGGAACAGCAGGGAGATGCGATGGAGCGGAATTCAGTGCTTCTGGGAGTGGTATGGTCTGGGGACAGCGTACTGCTGGCTCTGCTGTCCGCTCAGCTTGAATGTGAATCAGGGTTCTGCCCTTTTAGTACATGGACGACCCTGAGCAAGTCCCTTACCCGAGTGCCCTTGTTGGTACAGTCAGGACCACAGGAATAGCAAAGCCATCGGGTTTGGTGAGGATTCGACGAGCTAACACATGTAAAGCGGCTTGCGCCGGGCCCATCAGGAAAACATAGCTGATGTTTGTGGCAAAAAATAAGACTAACAAGATAGGTCAGGCCAAATTCTTAGTGTCCCAGGAAGCTCAGGAATTCAGATCATTTTTAAGGAACTTGGGAAGATGTTGATAAGAAAAGTGACGTATGCAAAACTTACTTTGGGAAGACAGACGTGTGTGTGAAGGACAGAGGGGAAGAGGAAAAGGCAGACAAAACTTGTGAGGCAGTTTGCAGTCCCGGTTGGAGATGTACTAATATACTGACTGTGAAGAAATTGTGAGTTGAAAGTGAGTTAGCTGATCAAACGAGGGAGCAAGGCAGAAGGGGACAGAGATGGCATAGGGACAGTCACCTGCGGAAGGTGGGTGACAGCGGTGCCATGGAGAAGAGCAGGAGTTGGAGGTGAGCAGGCAGGATTAGGGAACACGATGCCACACGGGGAAGGGTGTGCATGTTAGTGAAAACAGAAGACGTTAGAAAAAGTAGGGTCAACTGTGTTCAGTCAGACCTTATAGGAAAGGAAGCAAGAAAATGGGGCACAACCATCTTCCTGTTTCAAAAGTGAGAGGGGGTGGTCAGGCGCACAGGAGGTCAGGTGAGCTGGATTGGTGACTGCGCCAGGCTGCCCTGCACAGGCTGGCTCCACGTTGATCTGGTAACAAGCCCCTCCCAGTACTGAGGTTACAGTGAGAAAAACCGGGTGCGGGAGACAGAGCCACACCCAGGCCAGCGCCCCCGCCTGGTGCCGGCCTTGCAAGGAGGAGGCAGGCTCAGGATTCTGCCTCACCAACGGGCGAGGTCGGAAGGAAAGAACCGGGTGTATAGAGTTCAAGTCGGTTCGTTTGTGAGTATGAGACGGGTGGTTTCTCTTTAAGATTCTGGGGGAGTCACTGTGGGGAAATCCAAAAACAGTCAAGAAGGCTGCTTCCTGGGAGCAAACCTCAGAGCCCAGACCGGGACCGGGAGGAGGAGCCCGCTCTCTCTCTGCACCCGGGAAAGGTGGTGTGGACCTCAGTGGTGACACCCACGGGTCGGCTTGATCTTTTCGCCACCTACTGACGCCCAAGGGGGTTTGCCTGAAGCACAGGGAGGGGTGTAGGCAGAAGAGGGAGTCAGCAGTTGGCAGAAAGGGTGATGTTCTTTTGTTTGTTTGTACATTAATCCTCACCTGAGGATTTTTGCCTTTGATTTTTAGATAGAGTGGGGGGGGGGGGAGAGAAACATTGATGTGAGAAAGACACATCAATTGGTTGCCTCCCACACGAACCCAACCAGGGCCGGGGATTGAACCTCTGCAACCCAGGTACGTGCCCTTGACCAGAATTGATCCCACGACTCTAGTCCATGGGCCAACGCTCTAAGTGCTGAGCCAAACCAGCCAGGGCTGATGTTCCTTTTAAACATGTTCCAAGCATCTGAAAGTTGGGAACACAGAACTCAAACACAGGAAATTGGTCTGACTCAGCAGTCTGCCAGCCACGCTGAGGCCCTGGCCCCCGTGTTGGGGCACTTTCTCTGCGACAGGGAGGCCCTTCCTTCACTTGCATTTGGTAATAACGTCAGATTGTGCACTACTCAGTGGAAGGGGAATGTTTTTCACATTAAACAAGTCAGACAAAAATCTCTCTAAGGAGTATTCGCCTCCGTTTTGCCGGGATAATAAACACAGAGTGCGGCTGATTCTCCGTCTCTCAACTTATTTTTGAAATTGACATACACTGAAATTCACTCTTTCTGGGCTCTGGTGCTGGGTCTGTCCACACACTCACAGATGTGTAACCACTGCAGTCAAGATGCCCGAAAGTCTCCCCCCACCGTCCTTTGCAGCTAAGTTATTCCCGCTCTACACCCCCACAGCCACTGAACTGCTCTGAACTTCCCTTTGACAACTGCCTGTGGAGTAAGGCCTGAGGGCTCCTCGCGATGTGCTGGTGCTATAACAATAGTCACAGCAGTAAGCATAACAGTTCATGCACATTACCGAGGTCCAGCAGGCCGGCACCATCTGAAGCGCTTTATAGATAAGTAAACAGAGGCTTTGAGAAAAGCGGGAAAGGGAAGAAAGAAGGACTTGCCCAAGGTCATAGAGTGCCAGCCCCATGGCTGTGGCTTGAATCCAGGTGTGTCTAATCCGGCCTCTCTGGAAGACACAGAAATAGAACAGAGTAGAAGGAACACCTACCCACTTTAGAAAGCTCAGTTTAGACCTGGGGGTGTCTTACTCTAAAAATAAACAAGACTTACATGAAAACTTGGTTCCCTCTACCAATAAAGCAATAATGACTGGGAGTAAGATAAAAGGAAGCCAGGATCCTCGAACTCCCTCCTTTCAACCGTGGTGATAGGCAATGACAGGAAAGCCCCCCTCCCCTTGACCAGGCTTGTCAAGCAAAGCTGGTAAGATGTCCCCATCAAATACTGAAGTGCCGTTTTAATCTCTCAGCCTCATACTTCTTACATTTCACACACACACACATACACACACACACACACACCCCTGCGATGGCATCTTTAATCTCAGTCTTGTGTATATTTCAGGTTGGAGTCCCCAACCCGGTCTCTGGTGATGGAGGCCCCAAAAGGAGTAGAGATAAATGCAGAAGCCGGCAATATGGAAGCCACCTGCAGAACAGAGCTGAGACTGGAGTCCAAAGATGGAGAGGTAGGGGTGAGAAGGACCGGAGTCCAGAGACACAGCTGCATAGCCGACCTTTCCCAAAATGGGTTTGTCCCTCCCTTTGCCCTGAAACAGCAGAAGGAACCAACCAGAAGGTTGTATTTCTGGAACAGACATGTCCAGCGGGACAATGATCAGCCAAACCCACAACACGTAAACATTTGACTCATTATCTGCAAGATGCCAAGGTAACAGCATACAGGGCAAGGACAGGATACATATGGTTGTAAGGAGGAATGGTATTTCCGCATTCTGTCACCTGTCATCTTAAAATAAGATTTAGGTAGCTGGCAAATTAAGCTGTGTATCACCCACATCTGGCTAAAGATGAACTTAAATTCCTTGTCGTCGTTTTTAAAGTGTATGTTGCATGTTTCTCCTTTCATTGAGCGTGGAGAGAATTCCAAATCTGAACAAGCCAAAACTCCACTGCGCTGGGCAACACGATTTCAAATACTCATTCTCTCCCCCCAGCACAGTCCCACTGTGGGGGACAGAGTAGCTGCTCGTGTTTCTGCAACGTAAGCCACATCCCCAAAGAAATAACGACTCAGTTCTGCAAAGTTTTTGGTTTTTTTCTTTATTGGCTTTAGAGAGAGGAAGGGAGAGGGAGAGAGAGAGAAAGAGACATTGATGAGAGAGAACATCGACTGGCCGCCTCCTGCATGCCCCGCACTGGGGATCTGGCCCACAACCTCTTGGTGCATGGGTCAACGCTCAACCGCTGAGCCATACCTGCCGGGCTCAATTCTGCAAACTTTTTAAAGTGCCTTCTTGTGTTCATAAGCAAAGTTTTCTATTTAAGAATTTAAAAAAGGGGGGAGAGGGAATGTGTTATTTGTTTTTAAAGCACAACTCTGTTTTCTTTTTTGTAGCTACTTAGAGGTGATCCAGCTGCCTGTGTGCACCAATCCCGCCTTTTGATGGGTTTGGCATTTGCTGTATTTGTTTTAAAAGAGCTGGTTGAATAGAGCATTCAGCTATCAAAACTGTCTCCTCCAACAGCCACAACCTCCACACCACACACATTTAAAGCAGTGACCCCATCACGTACACCGTCTATAGCTATCAGAATCCAGACTCTGAAGGAATTGGTTATATCCTCACAGTCACTTAAGCCCAGAAAATGCTGTCTATTTTTGAAGATGTACCCTGTGCACAGACATATTCAGGGTCTGAGAAATCCTCCGGTGAAGAAAATGGTTAGAGCTAGCATTTCCAAACTTATTTTACTCTAGGATCTATTCACATTCCACGCGATATACTTTTGCAAAATGCTCGTATGTATCTCTCGTTGCCAGTGGGGTGTTGTCTCCTGCTGTGAGGGCCGAAACTGCTTTATTCATCTCATCCGCATTCCCAGGGCCTGGAATCCTCAACCTGTGGTCCGAGCTCGTTTGATCCGAGTTGAACTGGACATTCACCTGCTATTTCTGAATGTCAGGGGAATCACTGACGGGCTCTAACTCCTCCCTTCCTATCTACTCTCTTCAGATTAAGTTAGATGCTGCGAAAATCAAGCTCCCTAGGCTGCCCCACGGATCCTACACGCCCACGGGAACGAGGCAGAAGGTCTTCGAGATCTGCGTCTGCGCCAACGGGAGACTGTTCCTGTCCCAGGCGGGCACCGGCTCCACTTGCCAGATAAACACAAGTGTCTGCCTCTGAGAGACTCTCCTCGGTGGACGCCTCTGCGGCAGAAGGCCTTTTTCTGGCTTTAGATACTGGCTGCCAGCTATTTTTACTAGAACACAGAAAGCCTATCAAAGACCTTGTGTGCGTGTGCGTGTGTGTGTGTGCGTGCGTGTGTGTACGCGTGAGTGTGTCCGCGTGCGGGTGGGTATAAATATATATAAATATATATAAATAAATATATATATCCTCTGTATAAAATGAGGTTTCAGTACAAAAGGAACCAAGGGTGACCCTGTGATGTCCAGTCATCCCCATCCCCACCCCACCACCTACATGCTCAAATCAAAACGCTAATTCAGGCCCAGCATCCCCAGCCCGTCAAACCACTCCGTGCGTTGGACACTTACCAAATATCCATCCACACCTGCGAGCAACGGTGTTCCTTCTCCGTGAGTGTCATCTCAGGGCAGGGATGGCGGGAATGTCCAAGTCACGCTCCAGCGCTGAGACCCTGGCACCAAGAATAGGCGTTTAGTTTCCTTCCGTAGCTTCCGTCAGGGCTGGCCAGCTCCCCTGCTCACGTCGGGGAGGGGACCGCGGTAGGGAAGTCAGACACGACACTCCAGTGGCTGTTCTACCTTTGCCGGCAAATGCTTGGGGGCTTTTGTAGTCGGATAAGTGAGGGGAGGAATTTCAGCAAAGTGTGAACGGCTCCCCCAACTCCTGCGGTCTTACTTCCTTCAGACTCACATGACCCCCAGGCAAAGCGGGGGTCATAAATCAGCACAAAGCAGGGGACCAGCTGCCTCTTTGTAGGCAGAGTACACGAGTGATATGTCTCTGTTTAAAGGGAGGAAAAATGGATCAAAATCTGTTCCATCCTCACTTCTGACTTATTCGGTAGATTCCAGCGCAAAATGATTGGATTGATCAAAATTAACAAGAGCAGAACCCCTACCCTAAGAGGAGCCATTTGGAGATGGAAGTCTAAGAGTAGCATCGGGAACCTATTATTTTTATATGTTTTTTGGGGATTGGTAGGTAATTTAGACAGATGCCTTTAATTTTTAAAGGCATGCACACACTCACTGACTTCGATCTTCATATATATATATGTATATATACACACATATACATATATATGTGTGTGTATATATATATATGTTCTTTTTTTTTGGAGTAGGGATAGTCATATTCCTAAATCCACCCTTATGTTTTCTCCAAGAATAACAGATCTAAAGTTACATGCCCTCCCCCTCCCCCCAGAGATGCTCACTGAAATATAATATAGATGAGTCAAGTGTCTTTATCAGAATCACTGTGTCCGTGGGGCCCAGTAGCACCCACGCCCCCACATGTGGCAGCAGCTCGAATTCCCGCCATCCACTACCGCCCATCACTTCGCCTTCATCGTCATGCTCCGGGGTCACCCTGGCCAGCTCTTGTGCTGGGACAGAGGATTACACCATCTCTGTTCAAAGAGGGGCAAATGTGCCTATGCCTTAAGTCAATGCACTCAGCAAGGAGAAGCACATCCTATTTAACTTGTCGTTTCCTGTGGTTTATTTTGGGTGATTGGAGGGGACTGGTGTAGCAATGATTGGGCATCTTAAAAGCAGGTCAGCAAGCCGAGTGGCCGAGAGACGTGGACTCCGAGGAGCCCAGAATGGAGACATACCTGGCTTGGCACCGGATGCCACTTGGCAAGGAGTGGCCCCGCAATCCCAAATGAAGTCGTATCTGTAGGCCTGAATGGCATTGTTTTTGTTTCTCAACAAGTTCCTAATTTTTTCTGACTTCAACAGCAGGGTAAGATCTGTCATAGGAGATCTGGGAAAAGGAGGAGGTTGGATATCTTTGAGCAGACGCTGCAGCCCTGAGCTGAGGTTTACACTCGGGGATGGAAGAGCAAGCCGTGTGTTGCTTAGTCACCTAGAAGCAGGGAGGGAGGAGGGCTGTTCCAGGTCCCAGGCTCCCTCTCGTCAGTCTGGCTCAAGGTCTGGTAGAGAAGAAGTGGGTTGTTTGAGGACAAGATCATAAGATTGCTTAGTTAATAGCACTAGGGTCTAAAAAGGAAAATGATAGAAAGCTCTCAGGATCAGTATGTTTATATCCTGTAGGATCATGCTGCTCGAATCAGCGTGTCCCCCACACAGGGCTTCGCCAAGCCAGGACGGCCCTCCTAGGCTACTGGGACCCCCTACCCCTCCGATGAACAGTAGTAGCTATGAGGGCCTTCGTGGCTGGATACCTTAACACGAAGTATTTTTAAGCAGACAGACCATCTTTGGATTTTGCCATTTTAAGTCCACAATTTATGACTGAGAAGAAAACAAAAGGTTCCTAGAACCTCTCTCCTCTGATGTCCTAATCGTCACGTGGATGTCTGAGGTCAGCACGTGGGGGATTTTAGACCAATTAAAAAGACTGGTGTGATCCCACGTACAACATTTTACCCCAAAGGTAATGACTTCACCAATAAAATAGAAATAATCATAGCAGCCAAGAATAAAAATCAAGCACCTCTGAGGAACAGACATGATATAAAATCCTAATTCTCAATTGTTCTCAGTGGCCACAACATACCAGGTAATGAGCCGGACATTTGGCCTGGATTAAATTATGTATTTCAGTTCAGGCTCTAGAATGTGGTAAAATGCATTCAAAGTTTTTCAATTAACTTTTTGTTTTTCTCCCTACTTCCTTCAACTAGAATATTTGTCCATGGTCATGAGAGAAAGTTTTCCCTGAATTCTGGAAATATATATATCTTTTTACATTAAAATCTGAGAACCTTTCATTTTAAAAAATGAGATTCTAATCTTTATAATATCTTCTAGAAAATCACACCTTTTGGTATGTTAAGCCGCAGGTGGCATAACAAACAGAGAAAAACAAATGAATCTTCAATATTCTAGAAGTTCCAGTATGTTCATCTTCTTCAGAAGAGTTTTAAAAATTAAAAGTTGATCTCCAATGAGTTTATCACGTAGGTGTCTTTGATACCGTCTCGCTGTGTCATCAAGGTTCAGTCTTGGGAAACCACGAGAGTGGGGTGGAGGTTTCCCAAAGGCCTTATGAGGTAGATGGAAACATGATAGGAGGCTTTTCAATGATGTTACCCAAGGACTAGATCTTACAAACTTGAATTGGTTTTCCTTTCTTTTACATCAGTTTTCCTTTGGATCCTTTTCATTGTCTATCTAATAACCAAAGACCAAAGATGGCTTGAGGTTTGATTCTACAGCAGGGGTCAGCAAACCGGCGCCCCTAAACTAACTCCGGCTCATCACCTGTTTTTGTAAGTAAAGTTTTATGCTAGCAGCCACACCCATTCACTGCCACGTTGCCTGTGGCTGGTTTCCTGTAACGGCAGGGCTGAGTAGCCGTGCCAGTGAGCTCATGACCCACAGTGCAGGAAACCGTTGCTCACTGGCCTTTACAGAGTTTGCTGACCCCTGTCGGAGATGTCATTTATGGAATGTGTTGTCGGTGGCAAAGAAAGCAGACTTCACAAGAGCATGGAGCAAACCTATGTGACCATGTGTGCTTGGGAATAGAAATCCTTGGCTATAGTGAAAAGGTTGTTAGCCTTATACTATGTTATTTTAAAAAAGAAAAAGAAAAGTGATTCACTCGTCTGAGAAATTCGGGCGCACAGGATCTCGGGAACAGGGAGAATGGAATTAGAGGAAAGGGGGGGAAAGCTGTGATCCCCCAAGAGATTTTTCTTGGACCCTCAATAGATGCGTGGTTCCTCCGGTCTGCCTCTTTGTGGCAAGGAGCGACCAGGCGTCCCGAGGCTTAAATTCAGAATCGCTTCCCTGAAGAGACAGCTTCTGCAATCTACACTCAGAGGTCTTCACCTCCCCTCCCCAGAGTGCAAAACAATGCCCATCCCATGGTTCCCCAGAGAGGTGTTTTTTTTAAAATTCTCACCCGAGAATATTTTTTTCATTTATCTTTTAGATAGAGTGAAGGGGGTGGGGGTGGAGAGAGAGAGAGAAACATCAATATGAGAGAAACACATCGATTGGTTGCCTCCCAACCAGGGACAGGGACAAACCACAACCGAGGTACGTGTCCTTGGCCGGAATCGAACGCACAACTCTTTGGTCTGCAGGCCGATACTCTAACCGCTGAGCCAAACCAGCCAGGGCCAGAGAGTATTTTTGACTTAACATGTCTTTCAACATCACCACCTGTTACACCTCCAGTGTACTTATCATGCTATGAGCACCCTAGGACTGCATGGTGGTGAGACCAAGAAATAATCAGAGCTATTGAAAGAAGCATCTTAAAATATGTAGGAAGAAAACACATACAGAAAAATGATTTCATGAAGCTGTTGCTGGGAGGAACCTGATTAATTCCAGTTTGATTTTTGTTTCCAAGGCCCCAGGTCTTTGCTCTTTTGTGCAGTGGGCGTGCAAAGAAGACTATTTTGAATTCCATGTCTGCGTCCAAGTGGTAAGGCAGGTTCCTACCAGAGACCTGACCCTTCAGCCAACATCCCTATGGCTAATCCCGGGCTTTACACTCATATTCAACATTGTTGAAATAGCATCCGTATGAATGAGCTTTTGTAATATGAGTATTCATGTTGGGGAGGAAAGATTTTTGTTCTTAATGAAAACACCTACCATTTACCAGGCCTAATTGACGTCCCTTATGGAGTCCTTCAGCATTTTATATGAATTCAACCAAAGGAGGATTCAATGGGCAACCCTGCCCTTCACAGGAGCAACTAGATGAGAATATCTTGCTTTTATTTATTTAAGGTAAAGGTAGCACGATGCTTGGACAAAAGAGATAGATTCATGTAAGCACCTGATCCTTATTCTTTTTGCTGTTGTTTGTTTGTTCTGTTGTTGCTAATCCTCACCTGAGGATATTTTTCCATTGGTTTTTAGAGTGGAAGGGAGGAGAAAGAGAGAGAGAGATGTGTGAAAGAGAAAAGTGTGAGAGACACATCAACTGGTTGCCTCCTGCGCGACCCTGACCAGGGCTAGGGACTGAACCTGCAACCCAGGTACGTGCCCTTGACTGGGAATCGAACCCACAACCCATTGGTCCACAGGTCGATGCTCTAACCACTGAGCCAAGCTGGCCAGGGCTCTGTAAAAGGTGAAAATCTCATTTGAGTGGGTTGTAAACAACACCCATTTCCTAGCTTTCCCCTACACCAGGAAATTTTAGGCACAAAGGATAATAAAGCAGTTCCCAGAATAATATATTTGCATGGTCCCCCCAT